ACCGTTCCGTCGAAGGTAAGAACTCTCAATACTAAGATGCTAAGTCTATCGAAAACACGACTAATAAAATTACAAAATTTATAGTGGTGGCTTAGCTTTACAAAGAGGAAGTTTATGGGCAAGAACTTGTGAACTATGCTATAGATGCAATGCTACACGTCTAGAGGCCCGCATTTTGACGCCGACCTGTTGCTTAGTGTCGCCTTTTCTATATCTGATTTCCTCGCAAAGCGATTCTACAATTTATTTTATTTTCGAATATTCGACTACCGCGAATCGCAGTACAAGTTCGTAGCCATATATCTACCTAAGCACGGTTCTTTTCTCCGCATGCCATATGCCTATGTGTATGTTGATATGAGCTGTGTCTTGCTGACCCTCACGTGACTGAATTGCGAGGGTGTTTGCGTAACTTGGCTACCTTCTGGAAGCATCGCTAAACTCGCCGCCGCCGCCGCACCTGCCTAAAATTTTGGTCTTTGACAACCGTGTTAACTCAACCTAGACAAAGATCGGTCTCCTTTTCTCAACATCCCAACATCCCTCATACTTAAACTCGGGTGTGTCCTTCACTCTGGTCTTCATCGTATCATTCACTGCTGGTTTCCCTACATACAAATTATTTTTTTAATTCGTATCGTCTTTTCATCAACCGCCATAATGTTCGGCTTAAACCCTCAAGTGTAAGTTTCCATGCATGCCTGCAGCACGATTGTCACCGCGATGGGAGGCTCGTGACACCAGCAGAAATTGGATCGGATGCTAACGGATTAATTTTATAACCACAGTTCAAACATCGTCGTAGTCCTCGGACTGATGCAAGTCGCGAAGAAGATCCCCTTCGAAGATGAGAACGTCCTCTGGGCTGTCCGTGGTCTCTACATTCTCTCCAACATCGTCATTTTCTGCCTGTACTTCTATGTCGGAAAACAGATCAAGAAGAAGAATGGTATGTTGCTGTCCCTTGCGAAACTTACGTTTGTCTTTATCCAAAAAAAAGAATTATAGGCTAATGCTAACGTTTTGTGTGATCTGGTAGACATGACCACTCTGAAATACGTCGAGCCTGCCGCCCCACTTTCTGGCGAAGAACCCAAACTTGTCACTACCACTATCTGCCAATACGATGAAGGCCAGCTGAAATCACTCTACAAGTCTCAATTGACCGGTATGGCTATGGTCGGATTCATGCATCTCTACATGAAGTACACCAACCCGCTTTTGATCCAGAGCATCGTTCCATTGAAGGGAGCCCTCGAGGGTAACTTGATCAAGATCCACCTCTGGGGTCAGCCTGCCGCTGGCGATTTGAAGAGGCCGTTCAAGACTGCCGGTTTCATGGGCGCTGCTGGTGGAGAGACCAAGAGCGACAAGAAGAGCGTCGAACAAGCCGAGAAGTCCTTCAGAGGAGGTGCTAAGGAGGAATAAACGAATTTCTTTCTTCTAGTTGTATTCTGTATTGTCTCTACAGGGAGCCACCTTGATTCTTCCGCTCCTGTAGATAGATATTTTAATGGGTTCCTTTTATGTAATGATGGGGTCTGGTTGGGTCGGTTTACTGTAGATACATCACTTATCCGGGGAGCAATTGGCAATATAATAAAAGCTTAGGCATCTGTATAAGATTCAATATTGAGCGCTGTCGTAGCATTTCTTCCTCTCAAGACAGGTACCTTCTACCAAGGGGTACCTACCTAGATACTTTATTGGATCCAGTTGGAGGGCTGTTCGAATTTGAGCCCGCCACAGTGGGAAGCAGGGATTTTGGTGGGTGTTGCGAACGCGTCTTCCCACCAAACTCAACCGCAACCTCAGCTCTCGCGTATTCCAAGCTTCAGTAACCCAAAGACCAACAGCTTCAATACCGCTTTCTACGAAGAATACCACCTTTCCTAAGTACCCCACATACGTCACCTCGATAGCTCCGACCATACTCAGCGATAGCAGCCACGATGTCGGACGATGAAATGGATCTCGATGACGGCCCCGTCGATACTGGCATAACGTTCTCGACGGGTGAAGCCAAAGGCAAACGGAGCGCTGCAAATTTACCAGTAGAAGTTGGAGACTCTCTGCCTTGGTAAGCTTCACAGCACGGTCTTCTTTCTGTAGCTCAAAGTTCTAAACAGAATTGGGAATAGGGTTGAAAAATACAGACCTCAGAGCCTTGACGATGTATCTGGGCATGAGGATATCTTGACTACAAGTACGATACGATCTTTCTTACGATTCTTTCTATGTTAGGATGTGCTAATATAACAATAAATCTAGTAAATAAATTCATTGATCAAAACGTATGCCGCCGAACATATCACAATTCTATCGTATTAGGAAACTCACTGTATGGTAGAAACTTCCACATCTCCTCTTCTACGGCCCTCCTGGAACTGGTAAAACATCTACAATTCTGGCTCTGGCCCGACGAATCTATAATACCAAATCCGAGGCAGCCCTCCGCCACCACGTCTTGGAATTGAATGCATCCGATGACCGTGGCATTGATGTCGTCCGAGAACAGATCAAAACATTTGCTTCCACAAAGCAAATATTTTCCTCTACAAAACTGGAACCTACAAACACCGGCTCCTCAATCGCACAATTCAAGCTTATTATCCTTGACGAAGCCGACGCCATGACATCGACTGCTCAAAATGCTCTGAGGCGTATCATGGAGAAATACACCTCAAACGTCCGATTCTGCATTATCGCAAACTATACACACAAACTCAATGCCGCCTTATTATCCAGATGCACCCGTTTCAGATTCTCCCCGCTACCGGTTCCGGCATTACGAAGAAGAGTGGAACATGTTATAGAGGCCGAGAAGGTCAGGATCGATGATAAAGCTGTAGATGCACTGTTACACCTTTCGAGGGGCGATATGAGACGCTCTTTGAATGTTCTACAAGCTTGCTTTGCGGGTTCTACACCGCTAGATAAGAACGGTGTCGCATTATCTGGGCCGGACGTCCAACGGGAATTGATCACCGAAACATCGATCTATGAGTGTGTGGCAGCACCACATCCAGAGGATATCCAAGCGATAATGAACACTCTTTTGACGGAGGATATGACGACTGCTTTGATTACGGTTAACAGGATAAAGACATTAAAAGGATTGGCCTTAACCGACATTTTACAGGCGGTAGCGGAGGAGTTGTGTCGGCTGGAGGTCAAACCGCACGTAAGAGTTCAATGGTTGGCGGGAATGGCTGAGATTGAAGGTAGGGTAGCCGCTGGAGGAAACGAGAGTATCCAAACCGCAGGCTTCGCTGGAGTGGTCAAAGCTGGCGCAGAGATGATTGCCAAAGGGTGATATTTTTATAGACTTCAAAGGAATAAATATCACATGTGTTCATATATTAGAACACTTTACGACTGCCATGATTCTTACAAGGACAAATATCTCAACATTTATCAAGCAGCCAATTTTTTAAAACACCCACCCCTTAGATCAGCTCCGCCCCGGCACTGTATATTTTCCCAAAGATCTCAACACCTTCTCTCCCAAAGGCAGTGCCAACCCCAACGGCAGCAGCCCCCGCTTTTCTCATCCTCTTATACCCGGCCTGGTCTCCAACTCCGCCAGCCCCAATGACTATTATATCCCTGACTTCTTCGTGAGCACTCTTATCCAGCATACCCCTAATGGTAAATACGTTTCCCAAACTCAGTGGGTGAATGCTCCCCCCGGCCAATCCACCCACCCCGGTACCCGCCGCAGAAGTAATTATGGGAGTCAACTCCCCCTCGTTCGTATTCGGCAAATCAAACGAATAGAACAGAGAATTCCCCAGCGTATTCGTAGCCGTAATAAACGACAATATTCCCGGGAATTCCTCTACCGCAGATATCAACTCGTCGAATTGGCTTTGGTAGGTATACGGTGGCGTCTTGATCCCAACCGGCACCATCGACACATCTAGAGACTGTCGTAAGTCGGATAATGCCTGCAGATACGGCTTCAGACCTGACGAGGAATACGCTGGCGGCGGTTTATTCGGGATGTTTGGGCATGAAAGATTGATTTCTGCGTATATCTTGAATCTTTTTTCGTGCGCCCATTTTGAAATTGTAGAAACGGATGATGTGACTTCCGAGGATGTGCCAGTGATGGAAATAATAAAGGGCTTCGATTGAGGAAGGTTGGATGAGGTGATGATAGATTCTATGGACGTGAGGTAGTAAGGAAGTGGATGAGGGGAGTATCCGTATGTGTTTAAAGACGATGAGTTTGGTAGGAATGCATGTTGGTGGATCGAAGGGTCATTCTGGAAACCTGTGACAGGGAAGGAAGTACGGGTTGTGACCGCACCAGTAGAGCGGCTATCGTACAGAGCTTGGAGGTCCGATTGAGTGGTTGCCCAAGGCGTCGATGTATTCAAGAGAGGCGGCAAGATTGTAATTCGAGCAGTCATCTTCACGCTGTTAATTCTATTGCAACTGGTGATTAATACCTTATATCCATACGCATGCCCGTAGAATAGATATCTCCGATTTGATCAACGGCAAACTTTACTGCAGTGAAGAGTGTTCCTAACCGAACGTATTGAGGGTTGATTAGAGAGATATCTACTTGGAGAGTTACCTAATAGATACCTAAGACTTAGGAAGGGCATAGACTAAGCGAGATAAGAGAGAAGAAGAAGCGATTAATTGGTGGGGTGCCAATGACGTCGCATCGAGACCTCTCGCTCGTGGAGTTACGTAGCCGGTAGTCGTCTACAGACGGCTGTGTAACGGAGGGAATTGGGGTTTTTTGTGTTACCGTTCAAAATGCAACAAACTTGATGTCGCACTTCACGGCTGAATTTTTCAGTTCAATTAACTCTGATACTCCCGCAAAACCGACGACTCGAGATGCATCGATCTTTCGCAATTGGCGGTGGGGTTGGTCCGGTCCATTAGTTCACATCACATCCTTTCGCCCTTATCTTACAATCCCTGCCTTCACGGATTCATGAACTTCAATTCTGACCTTCGCCTCCATCAAATAACGACCCTCGATGGTGTAGTTGGTATCACAACAGGCTGTAAAAGTCTTCAGGAGTTCACTTCTGATTAAATCGTAACCTGCAGGTCACCAGTTCGAATCTGGTTCGAGGGATCATTTTTTTGCTCATATTTTTTTTGATTTTTTAAAATTTTGCCTCGTCTTCTTTTGGATAGCTGGTGTGAACATGTGCTGGGATTTGAGGCCTAAAACGGGCAGTTCGACAGGGGTATGGGTTACAACGATACGAAACTTTAAGCTAAAAGGTTCAGGGTGAAGCTGCCATGTAAAGTTCGTTGGTCAAACTCCGAAGGGTAGCTTGATAGTCAGAGCTACATACATCTGGTGATAAGAACGCCAACGTGCAACGGAGTATTCGAATTTCGATATCTATAAATCGATTGCGGGAAGCTTCGATCGGTATATTTTAGTATCCATGAACTCAGTTCCGAGCCATTATTAATATTCCGGCTTAGATATCTGAAGCCGAGGTTCCCAAAAAAAATCTCATCACAATGAGGAGAGCTACCTGGCCAACCGATCCAGTCAATTCTTGACAGCGCAGTCCACATATCCAATCCCCAGGCCAGCCTGCATCTCCAAAGCACCGAAATGTGATAGTCTGACGTTTCGTCGACGTGTTCTTCGTGATGACCTCGCCCGCCTTGTATCCACAGCGGGGAAACATGAAAAGCTCATCAATGAATTGCCTCAATTGCTTCAAAGAGCAGAGGATCGAAAGAATAGCTAGATAAGAGGCCCTCAATCCGGTAGCCAGTCCCGAACTTCACGCGAGTCCTCTGAGGCTCGCCGCGATTTCGTAACGTTTTTTTGAACAATGCGCCAGCAGTGAAATTCCTTAATTTAGCTAGGTATACTTCGTACTAAGATTCCTTTTTTATTACTAAGTCGAAAAGGGCTGGTTCCTTAATCCTCCTGAGATGTCCTCCGTTTCCCAAGACCTCGCTTTCTTCCTTAAACATTTTGTGGAATGCAGCGTTCGTCCACAAATACAGCTTCAACTTCAGCTCCAGCTTTCTACAACCTCTAGTTTAGCGGAGAGGAATTACAACGCAACGCAACTACAATCAACGAACGAAAAGATGGATAAGTCTGGGGATAACTCAAAGTTCTTGCCGGTAGCCCCGAGACCTAAGCCACTGGATCTATCGCATCACTTGTCGCCGCTGGCTAGGAGGTTTAAACAGTCGAAGGTGCAAGGGCTATACAAATATGGTGCTAGTAAGAATCCCTATTGATTTTCCTCCCTATTATGTTATTCCTTTGTCGAGACTGCATGCATGCACTCTTCGAACATGGTAATTCAGGACCTCGAGCTTAGAAGCTATTCGATATTTTAAATACCTTATGCATGCACGAATGCTGACGACCAAGTAGTTCCAGGAATGGCCAATCTTGCCGGCGGCATGCCCCATCCCTCCTTCTTCCCATTTGACTCCCTCTCCGCCACTGCTCTCACTCCAAACCACTTCACAACCGGCCTCCACACGACTTTCCTCCAGCTCCTGGTCTCCATAAAGAAGCCAAGCCACTTCACAATCCCCAAATTCCCTCCTCCAAATTCCCAAGACCCTTCGACAGATATCTACCTTGCACGCGCATTACAATATGGTGCTTGTGAAGGTCTACCCGTTCTCCTTGACTTTATCAAGGACTTCGCTGTGAATTATCAGCACCAAGGGAAGATTCCATATGATTCACCGAAGGTCATCCTGACCAGCGGGAATACAGACGGGTTTAATAAGGCCTTGGAGGTATTGGCCGATCCGTATAGGGGCGATAAGATTTTAATGGAAAAGTTTGTGTATAAGGGTGCAGTGGATAGTAAGTCACGGAACCGCATTTAGGCACATATTGTGCGAACTTGTGTTGGATACCGGGGCGCTAATTGGGTTATTGTAATAGCTGCCGCTTGCAGAGGCATCGATGTCGTGCCAGTCGACGTGGATAAAGAAGGTATGGTTATCGAGGGAGACGACGGCCTTCAAGGAATACTGGAGTCGTGGGACGTCAAGCGGGATGGACCGCGCCCCCACCTTCTATACACAGTCACGTAAGTCGAGCCATTTCCGTTGACCTCTACGGAAATATAATACTAACAAGGTTACCAACATAGAATGGGTCAAAACCCCACAGCTGGTGTTCTCAGCGTCAAGCGTCGCAAGCAAATCTACGCCCTATGCCAAAAATACGATATAATAATTCTCGAGGATGATCCGTACTGGTTCCTACAGTACGATTTGTTCCCTGAAGTTCCAGATAATGATACTTTCTTGTCGACTCTGGTTCCTTCGTATATGACTATTGATACCGACGGGCGGGTTTTGCGGTTTGATACGTTTTCCAAGACTATGGCGCCGGGTTGTCGCCTTGGGTGGATGTGAGTAGGACCCATATCTAGGCCTATCAAAGGCGGATATGAACAAAAGGCACTAATAAACCGCTTATAGCATTGGCCATCCAACAATAGTCGACCGCATCCTTCGTCTCTCCGAGCTAACTACCCAGATGCCATCCGGCGCAACCCAAGCGCTCGTTGCCAAACTTTTGGTCCACACTTGGTCCATGTCCGGCTGGATAACCTGGCTCTCTCTTCTCCGTCACCAATATGAATCCCGAATGAATACCCTATGTATCTCTCTCGAAGCTGGAAGAACAGTTACCATGATCCACCTCAAGAACATTCGGCTCAAGGAGATCGTTGATCAAGATGGAAATGTCATCGAGAGTGGGAAATACAGTTTAGTACACAAGGCCGTGAAAGAACTGTACGAGTTCGAAAGGCCGATGGGAGGGATGTTCGTATGGGTCAGAGTGTACTTCGAGATCCACAGACTCTACGACGGGATGAACGGGCGTGAGATTATGAGAGCTCTTTGGGAGTATTTGGCGAGCGATGATATTAGGTGTTTAGTATGCCCCGGGCAGGCCTTTGGGGCAAACGATGAAGTCGAAGAACGAGAAGCGTGGAAGTATTTCAGACTCTGCTTCGCGGCTGTCGATGAAGCTGAGCTAAAAAGGGCAAGTGTGGCGTTTGGAAATGGAGTGAAAGAATTTTTTGAGCTACAGGAGTTCCCCAAGAGGGAGGACGAGGAGAACACAATGGATATGGATTTGCGTATGCCACAATTTTGTTGATTGGGATTTGACTGGGATTTTGTTTATCTTGCTATTCCGGTTTTTGGGAGCTAAGGGGTTCGGTCGCAAGTATTTTATCAGTTTCGGTTTTGATCGCGAGTATTTCATCGGTTTAAGCAGTGATCGATTTCTTTACGAATTAGGGTATATGTAACATAATGATCAGATTGGACAAGCAAACTTCGCAGGGCGATAACGTATCTAGATACCTAAATGTCTTTACACTCAATCAGGGTAGATTTAGTTAGAATTAATGATATATAATAACACCGGTCAAAGAGTCATGGGTATTAGATATCTATAGATGGGGGCACGGCACGTTTCGTCGTTCACGGTCAGTGCAGATACCGATACAATCTCATACGCGAGTACCGGGTTCCTCCCCCGCGAGCATGCGTAAATATATTAGCAAGCCATCTGCTATCTATACAATAGGTTTTAGGGATGATACTCCAGATCGTGTAGCATTATGGTTACATTAGCTAAAAACTGAGTAAGCGATAATACATCGCAAGTCCAAGATACTTCCTCTGCCAATATATATATCAAAAAGAAAGAGAATGAAAAAAGCAAGCTTTGCCAAAAGAGCCCAGTCGGATAGTCATCGCATAAAGACCGCAAACATCATTAACATGCCAATTCTAAAATGCCGATCGCGAAGCTGTAAAGCAAGTTTATCTTTTTGTTCTCTCTGTCCCACCTTTTATTCCGGTCCTTGAAATCCGGGTCCAAGCTACTGGCCGTCCCACTGGAGCGGCATTTCTGCTCCCTCGATCAGCTCGATTCCTTGTTCATCATCCACCAACTTCGCAAATTCTTCTTCAGTTAGTATTCCACCACCCTTCGACCCTTCTGGTCGAGGTAGGGCAAATACTTCTCTCGATACAACTTTGACTTGCATGAGCACACACCCGGCCACATGCCAGATATCTTCTAAAGTTTTCAATGCGCCAACACTAAGTCTTATCCTCTCCTTCGCCATAAATCCTTCCTCGCCGTATAATAGCCATGAACAGGCAGATAAGTGGACGATCGCGCTTAGTGTGATGATGCAAGTGAAGAATGGCGTATGCTTGATAAGAGGCGTTGGGAGGGTTATAAGTTTTGATATCGCGTCTGCTGCGCGGATTGCTTTCGTAGTGTGGAATGCTACGGGTTTCGATGTTGTCGTCCATTGGGTTGGCGGTGTACACGATGTTTCATCTGGTACGAGAGAAATAGCGAGATGCGATTTTGGTCGGTGTAGATATATAGATGCACTATTTTCGTCGTTAGGTATGAGTACGGGTTTTAGTAAAATGTAAGTACTTACGCATTTATCACCATATGCGCCTGAAACAACATCTCATCCACTCTGCCATCTTTGTCCACTAGCTCTTTCTTTCCGGCTGGAAGGTGCAGCATCCAATTCACCAAACTCGTGTCCGCAGAATCCACTCTCGGGTCGTCCGGGTTGTCGCTGCCGCCACATGCCAAAACCTGACCTAATATCCGCACCGCTTCAACTCTGTATGCGTAAGAAGAGAAAGGTCTGTTATCTTCCGAAAAATATCTGTCATCGAAATCCACTAGTGACCTTGTAGGCGGAATTCGGCTAGATAGATATTCTTGCTCCTCGCAGGGCAACGGTACTGTGCATTCCACACTCCATAGTCTAAAACAATCTCTTTGATGAACCCCTGCGAATATTCCGTCTAGGAAGTATAGCTCCCACCATGTCCGTCGCCAGCTTTCTTCTATCACCGGGTCACCTTCTCCGGCAGCTTCCGCGAATCCCTCAAGGTTCATACCAAGCTCCAGGGCCATTTCAATTGCAATATCTTTGACTTGGCCGCTACGTTCTTGAAGGTTATCGGCATGTAGACCGATGGCGAATAGTAACATCGCTTGTACGGTAAATGAGTTTCGTGGTGCATTTTGTTGAAATAGCGTGAAATCCGCCGCATCTCTAAAGG